CAAACATAAAAGTAGATATTAGGACATTACCGTATTCGCGTTCTAGAAAGTTTGGATGCCGTACTCACGAAAAACACGACACCAGACATCGTTTTAATATCTCTGCGCATAATTACTCGTAATATTCGTCGTTCAACTGATTCACACTCGTCGCATTCAGCTTACGAATTTGTAGTAGAACAAACTGCGATAAAGTTCGCGATTACCGGACATTAATTTGCGCACAATCGTATTGCGCATCACGAATTTACTATGAAATTGCAGAAAACTTTTAATTGTTAATCGCGTCCTGTTCCTATCTCATAAGAACTTCGTGGAAACGGTGCGATATAATTGGAGATATATCTATTGTTCAAACTTGTGCAGCACTATCAAATATTAATATTCAAAAAGTTTCATGTCTCGCATCGATAAAATAACGCATTTTTTTTAAATATACTCGATACTGTAATACGCACGTGTACGTATGTAAAGTGTAATAATTATATAAAATAAAATATTGAAAACTATTAAATCTCGTGTAGCTTTCATAGTGATATAAAGATACTTAGATACAAATGTTGTAATTATGATGAACATTGTACCGTAGAATGGATTGTAAATTTCATGGTGCAAAACTATAATATTTTGATAAATTCGTGTAATAAAATTATAATATTTATGTAAATAATTCTTTCAAATAAAATAAAATTTTTTTAAATATTAAATTGATTACATTTGATATATTTGACTTGTGTTTATGTCATTAAAAAATAAATACATACATATAGTAGGATAAACTTAATATCAGGATTATCATGTGTTTCTAGATTCGCACAATTTGCATAAATGATAAATGAGCAAATAGGAATATTTAAGAATATCAAATTATTTAACAATTTTATATTTTAATCCAATTGTATTTTTAAATTTTTTTAATAAAAAAATTTGATTATAGAGATACTTATTTATTGCAGCACATTACAATTTCTTTGTTCTATCGTCTTTTTCCAATATTTAAGTTCAACTCTCACTTTAAAACTTTAAAAGATTGTCAATAATAATCAATAATAAATGGTATTTTATATCATCATATTTTCAGTTATACTACTACTGATATACCGAAAGTTCACGACTTCAATGGTTCTTTAAAGTTCTATATTGGAATAAAGGAAAATTTGGGACACTCAGAGTCAGCGCGTGTTAATTTGTACACAACGGCTCGTTACGCTAAAACAGAGTAGTGGGTGTTGCAGGAGTGGTAAAACTTTGAATTGTTAATTAGACTTGTACTGCCTTGAGTTTTGACTCTGCCGTTCTCGGAAAGGACCCGTAATTCGTGTTTAACGTACTCTATACATCTTTTATATCCTCGTTAAAATGCATCCGTATTGTATACGCGCTATCTTGCGACGCAAATTGTTACCTTTATTCCACTTTATGTTGATCACTTCTTACTTTATATAACATGAGTTTGTTACAGAAAAAGTCTTATGGAATAATGCATGTTATTTATATAACGCTTTGAAAAAAACGCGGTAACATAATATAACATAAACGAAAATTTGTTAAATACTTTATTAAAAAATTTTATTACTGAATCACATATGATAAATATAGGATCATAAAATATGAGCGTATGAGAGAAGGACCAAGAAAGTTAGAAAATAAGCGAGAGAATGAAAGAGAATGTCGGACCGTTTGATGTATGATTATTTGTGCGGTATGATTCTTTTGAGTGAATGCAGCGTATGAAACCAAGTGTGGCATATGAGAAAAGCGAGTGCAGATGAAGCGTGTGATTGGAATTTTGGGAAATAACGAGAATGTGTACATACGTGATTGAGAATTGAAAATGTATAATAGAGAATATAAAGACAAACGTTTGAAAACGAGAGGTCAGAGTGTTTCGAGCGAACAAAGTGCATCGAGCGTTTTTAAGTTCAGGATGAGTTTTAAAAGTAAAAAGTCTTCTTGAGTATTGTGAGATACGAGAGACAGTATAGAGCGATGTGTGAAGACGAGAATGAATTAGAATATAAGTTTATGCGAAGTTTGTTTACATTTAAATAATTATTCAATACTTTCTTCATCATAATATAACAATATATATTTTGCGAACCTAAACATCAAGTTATTAATATATAATTTTTATAAATTATTAGTTGTAAGAAAGTAAAAACAGAAAAAAATTTAATTCTATAGCATTTTCTCGGTATATGCAATAAATAAAAATACGTATCAGTGTAACTAATTGTAAGATTTGAGATATAAAAAGACTTTTTATATCTAGATTAATCACTTAAAATACGATTTTCAAGACAATTGTATTGACTGATCGAACTGATAGAAATTTGATTGCAAAAGTTGAAAGTTCAGCACGCTGCACTTCTTGAAAAATTAAATGGCTTTGAATTTATATTCGGCCATTGTTTAAAGTTTAAGCAGTGCTCGCAATTCGCTTAGCCGATAATCGTCTACGATCGTGTTCGTTGTCCTCGTTCCAAATATAGTTCTAAATTTTATCGAAACATGCTGAACGCGCGGCAGAATGTCGTGTAAATTTCGGCATTCGCACGGAGCGATAGCTAAAATTTTTCTCATGCGACTCGATGAAAATCAAATCTGCGTTAATACCGCTTCGCGTGCTGCGCGAAGCCATCCCGAAGAATAAAACGAGACCGATCGAACAAGTGACCGCGTTTTTCAACGACCGCTCAGTGAATCGACGAGATATATCCGTCGTCGATGGCCCTGACACCCCCGAACCGTCGATCAAACTTTCAATCTACATCGGACGGAACATTGCCGAGACAGTCCTCGTCGTTTAACTCGGTTATGACTTTCACGACTAATAAGCCAATTAAGAAAGACCACCATGGCGGAACGTAAAGTCATTCATTTTACTCAAGCGAATCATTAATCAATTACGTTTGCTATGTATTAAACTAAATTCTATAAAAACGTAGAATTTTTTGAAATATTATTGTATATTAAAATATAACAGCAATACCACTTACACGTTTTCCATATTTTATAACACTATGTAGAAGAGAATTAACGTAAAATACAATAGAAAAAATTAAACTGTAGTTTACTAATAATATTCACAAAAAAAGAAAGTTGACCATATATTTTTACTTTTCTATTCTCTGCGTCGCAAACATAAGTGTTATATTTTATTACACGTTGATGTAAAGTATGTAATTTTCAACTTTAAAAAGACAAAGCACACAATTTCACTCCAACCTATATTTATGTCATAAGCACAAGCAAGTTTAAGAACAGCGAAATCAAAATATTACAAGAAATCAGGTTTTACTCTTCAATAAACAGAAATAATTATTTAATTATTTGCGATGTATGATTGTGTATCGAAAAGTAACGATATTTCGTGATTTGTTTGCCCGCAGCGTTACGAAGCAAAATTGGGAGGCTGAGTTTTATTAACGAGCAGCGATATACGATCGCAACGACCTCGAGATACATCATCTCTCGTCGGCCATGGTTGTTGTACCCAATCGTTTATCAAGCTGTAAACCGCATAGAGGATTTCATGATGGAAAGTCGTATTAAGAGAAAATATCGCGCGATGAATGATGATCAATATCGCGCGAGAAACAATGCGAAATGATCGACAGATCGACGCGATGGGACATTTGTTTAATTTATCAGTTGCAGTTTTGAAAGCAAATCATTATCGCGATTTGTTCCCACAAATTATTCCCAAATTACCGTCTGGACGCCATTTCTCTTTTTATCATGGCAGCAGTTAATGCCAACGATTGCAAATGCGTAACGTTTATGTAACAACCAGCGGACAACCAAACGTTAATTTGTTCGCTTGTTAATTTGATCAAGTTTTGAGAAAGCGATAGAGCGATTAATCGAAAGTAATGCCATTTGCAAGTGTAATTTATTACTCTGACAATGAATAGTCATTCGTGCGTAATGCTCTTTCGCGTTTCGTGTCGCAATGATCACGCATTTGTATTATTATATGACAAGCAATCGATTGCTGATTAAATTTTATGCACTACAAGCTAAATTAATTCTCTCAGAAGGAAATCATTTGCTGATTAGCAATATATTCACTAAATAATTTTAATGGATTTTTGATTCGTTTATATTTTAAAAGTTTATAAAGTTTAGACAACATGTGTATGTCAGTAAAATATGTCATATATTTATAAATAAATTATTCCCTCCCAAAAAACAAACATTATTTTTCATAATGTCATACTTTTCATTGATAAATAATTTATCCGTAATAAGTAACTTGTCTAATCTGGAATTCAATTTCCAAATCAATATGAATAATCCTACGATATGATAAGTCATAAATAGAATCAATAAGAAATAAAATTAAAAAATTAAACATAATATTATTATAAATATAAGTTACCAATATATATAAATATAAATTATCACACTATATTGATATTATTGTAAAATCATAGGAGCGAAAATAACGAAAATAAAAATCCACGAGCAAATAAAACATTTTTACATTCATTCGATAACATACAATATTCAAAGTTAAATCGTTTATCATTCATTGAAATATATGTTTTTTTTATAACTTAGTTTCACAGTTTTAACTCTGCTATGGTAGGATCTTATTGATCAAGCGGTATGCAGGTCACGCCGAAACGAATCACCACATCATAACGATGCGTGATGCATCGTTGATGAAATATTGCAATGCGGATATTAATTTACACATTTCATGAAATAGAAAAGTAAAAATAGAGTATTTTTAACATGTTCCAATTTTTATAATAATTGCATAGATATTTATGACATTGTACAGCATCACGATTTTTCTTTTCTTTTCATTTGCATATCATGGTGCCAAATATTGTGGCATAATTATTATTTATACATGACGCTGTTGGTTATTAATTGTATTTGATATATCAGAATACAAGAATTAAAGCATCATCAATAATATAGTAATTGCATTGCATAATATTTAAAAATCACGCTTATTTCAAAGCAAAAGAAAAAAAATGACTCACCAGCTGATTCACCGGCTTCTCGTCGGTTGCTTCATTCTCCCGAAATATTTGTTTATTGCAAGTTAATTTACTGCTCTCCTGTCGACCGCTCCATTTCTACGATTTTGCGTGAATGCAAGTTGATCGATTGCCGCTTTACGTCTTCAGTCTATTATTTATATATGACTCTGTTAATTAGTAATTTTATATTTGATATATCAGAATACAAGTATTAAATTATATCATTGATAATATAGTAATTGCATGTAACATTTGGAAATTATACTTATTTTAAATCAAAATAACAAAAAAAGCTCACCAGCCAGTTTCTCGTTGCTTGCTTCATTCTCCCGAAATATTCGTTACCGCAAGCTAATTCACGGTTCTCCCATCGATCACTTTATTTCTACGATTTTGCGTCAATGCAAATTGATCAAATGCCTCTTTACATGAGTGTCTTCAGTCTTATTGCAGATACGACACATTATATTCTCGGCATAGACGAATAAGTAACGCAAAACATAACGATTGTCCATTGTTTCACTCGATACTCTCGATAAACTATGATTTGTGAAATATGGTGTCTGAAATATTCAAACGAAACAGCAACAATTTCACACCGTTACGCGAACTACACCTCTGCGATGCTAGAGATGTCAATTGCATATTCTTAGATAATTAATACTTCACGACGATCGTATATCGATACGATAGACACTCCCGATACTATATCGCGCCCGAAATTCACTCCCGACAGGAAAAATACATGCAAAACGCGAAACAAACCCAACACTCACCTAACGGTCGCCGCACACCGCACGCCATTACGAGATGAACTGGAGATAGCTGTAGACCAATGATAGCCTAGAATACAGACGCCGCTCTGCGCGTAAGCCGCGTGTACATTGGTCTACATTCCAGGCACTAACTAGCAATGACTACGCGAGTCAAAAAACATCATAAACGCGGTTGGTTAGCTGCGTAGTCAAACGAGAGAGAGAGAGAAAGGTTTGGACAATCACTTATTTGTAATAGAATATTTTTGGCATACTTTCATTAAAGATTAAATTGAGATTAAATTTATATTAAATTAATGTATGATAATTTATGATTATTAATGTTAAATCTGCGATAGTAATGCATAACGGCACAAAATTATTGCTATGTAATATTATCATTGTCATTATAATAATAAAAATTGTGAAGAGTAGTGAAATGTAGAATCGATTAAGCAATAAGAGATCGTCATATATCGCGTTGTTTACAGGCTAAGTGCATCATACGTGCATCAACATAACCACTACACACTCGATTGTGAGAGGCGAGGAGAGGCGATTATCGTATTACGCTAATTAGTGCGAAGTATCATCATAGCTGTGCCTTCTCGATTGGTAATTGTCTAGAGAGTGTCTAGAATAAAATAAATAATCGGTCAGGAAGCAACGGTAATACATTGAGTGGTGAGTGAATTCACTTATTTTTACATTTATTGTACTGATGAAATTAACCTCAAATCCGAAACATCAATTTTTGAGATTTAATAGTAATTTATGAAAGCTATTTGTAAAATATATATAGTTTATTTATCTTATACGTTAAACAAGAATAATTTTTCTCATATATTTAAAATAAATAAAAGAATATATAGGAAAATTAGAAAAAATGTATATATTTATAATAGAAAATGTTTAATTTAAGAATTAAATTATAATTGAACTTAGATGAAATAAATGTATAATTATTTGCGATTACTGAAATTGACGGTTATTCTGGCCGTGATTTGTAATCAATGTTTGTACATATTAATTTTTTGTTTTGACTAGTATAGTCATCTTGCAGTAGTGGCTAGTGACGTCACAGTGACGTATCAACAAGGATCGTTGTGAAAACGCGGGAAGATTACTTTGCATTTTTTGCACTTGTTTTACATCGAAAATGAATCTTGCGTTCTGTAAGTATCTGTAAGTATCGAAAATATCAAATCAAATAACGAGTTAATAAAGATTTTTAATTGAGATCAATTAAAAATCAAGATACATGATACTGAAATTAGCGAACTATTACTTATCCTGTGTTGCAGCTATGATTGAGGTTGAGGTTATAGCGCGATTCGGTACCAGCGTTCGTGAAATTGTCGTCGCGTAATTTCGTCTAACAAGAATCGGGAGTGTGAAATGTCAGATGGATTGAATGATGGGCAATCATCATGTCTCACATTGTTTACACGTTCTAAGTGCTCCGTGTGTGCAATAAGCGTGAGGACTGCATACACGATTACATGACAGGTAATTATCGTATCACGTTAATTAGCGCGAAGGATCATAATTCATTGTGCTTTCTTGATTGACTAGTGTTCATATGGGATAACAGCTGGAACAAAAGAGAAAGCTGGCTAGGAGGCGACGACGGTACATCGATTGGTGAGTGAATCCACTTATTAATCCATTGTTATTATATTTGAATGAATAATTACATAAATAGCGTGAGGTCAACACGCTAGCCTTAGTAAATTAGAGAAGGTTAGTTCGATCCCGTTCGCTTTCTCATAAGGCAAAAACCTGCACAGGAGTTTATACACCGCACAAAATCGTCTTGCCAGAATGTGTTATTTAAAATTTAATAAGATCAAAACATTACCTTACACTGTATACTCGACTTTGTACAACGTTGTTACAAAGCTTACGACTTAGTGCATTGCGACACGAACAAACCTTTTATATATTATTTGATTATTTTATGTGTTATAATTTTAATGGCGTCATAAACATTGCATAAATGAGCATATTTCTTACTTTTACAAAGATTTATACGAAAGGAAACGAATAAATTTTCAAATAATAAACTGCCGCGTTGATTTTTAGCCGTAAATCCTTGTCAGTTTGATGAGCAGAACACGGCAACGTAATCTAACTATGCAACTCGTTGCACCAACACATAAATCGCTGCGTTTTTTTAGTGATTACACGATATTTTCGTAATGCGTAAGCTTTGTAACAATGTTGTACAAAACGTTGACCGTTAATCACACTTAATCCGCATAAAAAATCACGAGTAAGCGAGTTTACTTAATAGAACTATATGAGTTTATATTTCATTTTTTTAAATAAGGAATTATTATTAGTTAGAAGAAGATTTTGACGCTATTTCTTAAATACAAAGCAGAGCCTGTCAGTTTTTCTTAATGTAAGATCCTTGATCTCCTTATATTGATGTCATATAGTATTTTATATAAAAAATTTAATTTAATCTTATTATACGAAAGATTTATAGAATAAAAACGGTAATAAATTATATTGCCAACATTTTAAAGAAACAAATATTTTTATTTGTTTAAATTCCGTGAAATAATTGCTTTTCTGGCTAATAAAACTTACATATTTACAAAATGTTATATATATATACTTACTAAATATATAAGTAAGAACCGAAAAAGTCGAGTATAAAGTGTGAAGTAATGTTTTGGTCCCTATTAAATTTTAATGATGCGTTTTAGAAAGACGATTTTGTGTGGTGTATAACCTGTGCACTCACGCAGTGGAAAGCGGGTTCTGGGTGAAACTCGTTTACAAAATTTGTTAAATCCAATCAGTTATCTCGGCGCCGAATGCATCGCGAATGTTGCATCCTCGTCGTCGTCGTCGACGGCGCCGTGATGCGCCGTCGAGCTCGTTTTCGCGTTTCACGCGAAATCGCGGAGAAAGCCGGCAACCACCAACGAGGTACGAAACGAAATATTGGATTAGATAGATAAAGGTGGCACGAACCGCAATAAGTCCCGCGGATCGCGCACACGCGATGTGGGGCGCGGGAGACCGTCGTGGCGGCAGGAAGACCGAAATGCGATACACGGAGAACGATAAGACTGAAATTGCGTTATGGCCGGCAGCCTGGCTTACGAGTTGATGCGTTTTATCGCCTTCCGAGTAGCGTTGCACTCGAATTTGTCACTTTCCCGCGTATGCGATGATTGATTAGATAGCTTGTTAGGTTGAATGAGTTCCATGGACGTATTCGTGATTTACCATATATAAATTTATATTAAATCCGCAGTATAATGAAGGTCTGACAAAGATCTGCAATGGAAAAATACTTGTGTGATATAAAGTTTTGCGTCACTCAATTCTTTTATTCTTGCCACATTGCGCGCAGTCATAGAAACACAATCAACGATTTAATTATAAATTTTGCAGTTGAATTCAAAATCCTGGAGTTTCATATATCTATCTATATGCATGCTTGAAATTCCTATGAAATTGGTAAATTAATTTCGTACTAGATACAAGTCTCGAAACTAGCATCAATGTAAAATTACGCGCATACTCATCTTTTAGAATTTCCAATATTTGTTCATAATTTACGGAATAATTTTGTGCCAAGTATAGATAAATTTTTATCCATTCAAACGCTATCGAAGTTAGCTTTGAAGTTAGGTTAAACATCCTGTACGCGCAAACATCACAAAGCTCCACGCGGCTGATGCGTCAATTTTTAACAACACGAAATCACGACGCACTTTATCCCAGTTGGGCGTAAAAGCGTTTTTTTCCGCAAAATCTGACAGGAGCGCGCGCGTCCATAAAAAGCGAAAAATTCGATGGCAGTTTTCACAGAAAGCCGAAACAGATGCATACACACGTATATAGAGAGAGAAAGAGAGAAAGCAATGTTTTTGTGACTGGTTGTCGGTGCGCGAAACGATCAAAGGCCGCCGCGGATTACACGTAATTATTCCTACTAGCTTCTCTCTTATCGCCTACGCGTCTATTGTCGACACTCCCGACAACTCTCCGTCAATGTCACGACGAACAAGCGGCGGTGTCGCGTCACATCGAATTATCCTCCAGAATATCGTTTCTCGCGCTCTCGGCGTTTACCGAAACGAGGAATCACGATTTCCACGCAATCCTTGCCGCTTTTCACGCCGGCGCTTCCCCGGTTAGGGTGTCGTTCACGGAATCATGATCGACGTCCCCACTTTCTCGGTCCCGCTCTTCCGTACCATCGATCACCGTGATTCCGGGTTAAAAGGAGTGTCTCGTTAAAAAGGCATATACCGTCGAACGCGCCGAAGTCGCTATCGGGGAATTTGTTGAGAGAGCCAGTGCGAGTGGCGTGTCGGAAGTTTGATCGACGTTCCCCATCGCGAGCCCCTGAGGGCCCCCCTCCGTGGAACGAAAGCTTTCAGGAGTGAGGGGTCCGCTGGTTTGTTAAAAGTGTATTCTGTTCGTCGACTCTTCGAGGGTAATTGCGCTTGAATTGCGTGGCCTTCTTCCGTCAGTAAAAAATATCGTCATTCTGCCAACATTCCGCAAGATTTATATGGAACTCTACCATGGGGATACACGTGCCGGTGTGATCACACGTGCGTGTGAAGTTATCCTTCCTGGGAGAATCGTATCTCCCCAACTCGCTTTCTGACTTTAGGCTCGTGTCCTTCGTGACTGATAGCCTTCAGTTCAAGCGAAAATCGTTACTTTGCAAGCGGTATCGAAATTTTTCTTCATAGCCACGTTTCATGGAAATATGTCTGGCGGGAGAATATGCATGGAATTTGCGCGCGTATTAAAGGCCGGTGATGGTGGTTGTCGGATGGTTGCACAGTGGTGGCTGCGGGGTTAGCGTTCTCCGCGGAATTCTAAGCAAAAACCAAATGAAAGAGACGCATTTAAAAGAGGGCGAGTGCTGCCCTGTAGATATTTACCATATTATCGTACGCGTGGTTTCGCGAGTGTTATTTTACAGTTCGCGTGGTTTGTTATTTTCCCTTTTACTTCATTTAATAAATGGGTCGTTGTTATAATAATTTTGTAGTGGCTGA